TTATGGTCGAGGTAATACTTCAGGGATGAGATGGCCCATTTAACAGCGAGTGCCTCCCTTTCTATTGTGGAGTACCGCCGTTCTGTCTCCGTCAATTTGTGACTCAAGAAGAGAATCGGTCGTTCTTCTCCTCTGAGCTGTTGGGTAGGACAGCTCCTAATCCCGATGCTGAGGCATCTGTCTGGACTGTAAAAGGCTTGGAAAAATCAGGGTTATGGAGAACGACATCATTATTCAAAGCTTGTTGTAGATCAGTTAAGGCCTGCACTGCAGCATTGGTCCAACATAGTTGGTTAGGACCTTTTTTTCTTAACATGTCAGTAAGGGTAGAGGACCTGGTAGCGAAAGCGGGAATGAACCGGCTATAATATCCTATTAGTCCTAGAAAGCACCGTAACTGTTTCTTTGTGTTAGGGCGAGGACACTCCTGGATTTTGATCACTTTGTCTGGTTGTGGGCATACCAATCCATTCCCCACTATGAAGCCTAAATATTTAACTTCACGAAAACCAAGTACACTTTTTTTCGGATTAGCTGTCAAACCGGCCTCTTTTAGGGCTCTTAACACTGTCTCCAGGTGTTGCAGATGCATGGACCAGTCAGGACTGAAAATAACTATGTCGTCAATGTAGGCTGCCGCAAACCCTTTGCAATGCGCTAGGACAGTGTCTACAAGCCTCTGAAAGGTGGCTGCAGCTCCATGGAGTCCAAAGGGCATCCGACGGAACTGGTATAGTCCTGAGGGCGTAGCAAATGCCATTTTTTCTCTATCGGCTGGTTCCACTAACACTTGCCAATAGCCTTTCGTTAAGTCTAAGGCTGAAATTACTCGAACTTGTCCTAATTGTTCTAGTAACCCATCTGTGCGAGGCATGGGGTATGCGTCAAATTGAGACATCCGATTTACGGCTCTATAATCAATGCAGAATCGGGTACTGCCATCGGGTTTAGGTACCAACACTATGGGGCTTCTCCATGCACTCCTAGACTTTTCAATCACCCCCAATTTCAACATTTCCTGGACTTCCTTTTCCACTTCTTCCCACCTAGCTCGGGGGATGGGCCGCCATACCGAACACGCCACCTGTTTATCCTGTGTTGGGATCACATGTGTGATACAGTTAGTACATCCTGGAGTTGTTGAGAATACTCCCGGCACTTGCCCCAACACCTCTAGTAAATCCTGTTTTTGGGAGGCTGTTAAGTCGGAACATAAGTTGGGTCTAACTTCGTCTTCTCTCCCCTCAGCCTTCCATTCAGGACAGGCCTGTAGCCCTGACGCTTCGCCTTCTTCCTCCATCCTCAAGAGCCCTCTGGTTTGCCATTCCTTAAGATGATTGACGTGTAGCATGCGAATGGATTGAGGAGAGTTCCCACATTGGACCCTATATGTCACTGGGCCTAAGACCTTTTTGATTAGGAACGGTCCTGCCCAGGTTTGTGCTCCTGGGTGTAAACAGGCCCGTCTGTGGACTAAGACTTGCTCCCCCTCCTGGAAGGTTCTTAATTTGGCTTTCTTACTATAATAACGTTGTTGCACTTTACAAGCCTGCTCCAAATTCTCCTGAGCTTGTTTGTGAGCCCATTCTAACCGTCCTTGGAGCAAACCCCGTGCGGTTGTCTCCCGAATACTAACTCGAATGGACTAAAGGCGGTAGACGCTTGAGGTGTTTCTCGAAAGGCAAATAACAATGGGTCAATGTACAAATCCCACTGCTGTGGCTTGTCCTGGGCTACTTTTTTTAGCGTTTCCTTTACGGTATGATTGAATCGCTTTACCAATCCGTCTGTTTGGGGATGATAGAGTAATGTGAAGATTTGTTTAATACCGAAATTGCTACACAGATGTTTGATTAACCCTGCCCTAAAGGACGATCCTTGATCCGATAGTAATTCTTTAGGAATTCCAAAGTGCGAGAATAATTGGAAAAGCGCCTTAACCACCCCCGCTACCTTCATGGTCCTCAGGGGTATCGCTTCAGGATATCTGGTGGCGTAGTCCATCATAATCAACAAAAACCTGTGTCCACGAGGTGTCCTAGGGAGGAGTCCTATGAAATCCATGGCCACCCGGGAGAAAGGCTCCTGTATAACCGGCAAAGGTTGCAAGGGAGCTACCATTGGCAACCTATTAGCATGTTTCTGGCACTCCGGGCATGATCTGCAATACTTTTTAACATCCTCAGGCATGGTAGGACAGAAAAACCGTTCCAAAATACGAGCTACCGTCTTATTAGGACCTTGATGTCCGGCCCAAGTATGATCATGTGCCTTTTCCAACACCAACCCCCTCCTTGCTGCGGGTACCAAAATCTGTTGCAGGTCTCTGCCTCCTGGCCCCGTAAGTGGTTTGTCTAATCCACACTCCCTGGTTCTTCCCTACCCTTGGTAACCATTCACTTAACTGCTTACTTACAATCTTCCCATCACATATGGAGACCTGGCAGCGCATGGCGTCCAGTGTGGGGTCTTCTTCTTGCTCCTGTTGGAAAACGGGGTCCCCCGCCCAATCATCGTCCTGATTGCCTTCCTTGTCTCCACTGGATGTTTCTCCTTCGTCACTATCCTCGGTCTCAGGAGGGGATTCTTCTCCTACACACACCTCTTCTGCTGTAGCTTGGTGTAATAAGGCTTTAAACATTTTTACATCTCTGCCTAATAACATAGGACATGGCAAGCTGGGGACGCTAGCCGCTTCTAAAGTGACGGCCTCTCCTTCTATAATCACCGGAATGCGCAACACTGGCCACTTGTGCACATGCTGTGTAAAGCAGTTTATTTGAGTCCACGGCACCACTGTCCTCGGGGAGGTTACTAGGTCTGCCCTTATCATTTATATGGAACTCCCGGAGTCCAACAGCGCGGTTACCCGCAGCCCCGGGAGATGTACTACTGTTGTAAAGGGTTCCCAACCTCCGTTAGAGGTCCAACAAGATAAGGCGAGGGGCCAATCTCCCTCGCACTCCATTAAGGGTCATTCCCGTTTGAAATGCCCCATTTCTCCGCAGGAGAAACAAGGCCCTTTCTGGCCCATTTGAGGCCCGCTCGGTTTCTCTTTCTCCTCGCCCTGCGTCAGCGAGTTGGGCTCGAGTCGTGGTCCAGGCCTGAAGGACATATTTCCACGACTCTGAGGCCCTACCGGACTTCCTCTAAAGAAAGGCCGGGCCCTTCCCCCTTTCTCCGGGCCACTCCCTCTGCCCATTGGGGAGGGTCCTATTCTAGCACCCCCAGTCCCAGTGCCCGTTGGTTTCTGTTTTTCTCCTATTTTCCTTCCTACTTCTGCACTCAGATAGTTTTCCATTAAGAGCACCAAAGCATCTGTGCTTTTTGGCTTATTTCGCAATGGCCATACCCTCATTTCTTCCAGGAGGGCGTGCACCGCCTGTTCTATCAGTACCTTAGCCACAATAACTTTTTCCCCGGGTAATTTAGGGCTTAACCATCTTTCAGCCCATTCATTTAGCTCGGCCATCCAGAGGCGAGGTCTTTCATCACCCTTCCATTTGAGAGAACAGAACTGGGTGCAGTAAGAGTCCTCCGTGATTTCAAATTTATCTAGAATAGCCTTCTTGACCATAGGGTAGTCTGCTAACTGAGTTTTAGACAGACTCTTCAACAAAGATTGGGCTTTTCCCGTTAAATACGTGCCTAAGATACATGTCCACTGGACTGGGGGCCATTGGGCTAACTGGGCCGTGCACTCGAAGGTTTCTAGAAAAATATATCGTCTTCAGCCGATAATTTAGTCAACAAAGAGGTCGGCATGCGACTCCCTACTGAGCCCGCTCCTGTCCCCCTTACCTGCTCCCAGGTTTTGCTTAAATCGCGGATCAGGACGGCTTGCGTATCTTGCTGGTGTTGCATCCAGTCTCTCATAAGCCTTTCTTGCCTTTCGGCCATCCATTGTGCGAACTGAGCCATGTCAAACACCGGGTTTGAGGGGCTGCAGTTGTGCCGGTTGCTCCTGCCTTGTCTTCATCCATCTTCCGACTCTCGTTTTGACGTTGACTACACAAGCCCCCTCGCCACAACAAGGCAGTGATCCATATGCTTATCTAATTCCCTTTTGAAGCCGTCCATGCTTGTAGCCACCACCACTTCCTGTGGCAGTGAATTCCAAGTGTTAATCACTCTTTGGGTGAAGAAGTACTTCCTTTTATCCGTTCTAACCCGACCGCTCAGCAATTTCATGGAGTGCCCACGGGTTCTTGTATTGTGAGAAAGGGAGAAAAGTACCTCTTTCTCTACCTGCTCTTTCCCATGCATAATCTTATAAACCTCGATCATGTCACCCCTCAGTCGTCTTTTCTCCAAGCTAAAGAGCCCTAAGCGCCTTAACCTTTCCTCATAGGGAAAGTGTTCCAACCCTTTTATCATTCAAGTTGCCCTTTTCCGCACTTTTTCCAAAGCTATAATATCCTTTTTAAGGTGTGGTGACCAGAATTGCAGACAGTATTCCAGATGATGTTGCACCATTGATTTATATAGGGGCATTATGATATTGGCTGATCTGTTTTCAATACCCTTCCTAATAATCCCCAGCATAGCATTGGCCTTCTTTATTGCAGTCACACACTGTCTCGACATTTTCAGTGAGTTATCTACTACAACTCCAAGATCTCTCTCTTGATCAGTCTCTGCCAGTTCAGACCCCATCAACGTGTATTTATATTTAGGATTTTTGGCTCCAATGTGCATCACCTTGCACCGATAAATTGTGACCCTAATTAGGGATACACTACGCAAGTAGACTACTGTAAACCGCTCTGAGACCCATTAGGGGTTATGAGCGGTATGGAAATTGAAATAATAACCATCAGTCCTTTCTTGCAAAAGGGGACAGAAGGGGGTCAGGGTCATTGGCTCCTCAGCAGCACCAAAACTCTGAACGCTCAGGAAATATGCAAGGAATCGGCATGTTCTGTGGACAGTTCTGTGGACAGTTCTTCCAGTTCTACGATTCTTCCAGTTCTGAAGATAGTTGATTCTCCCCCCACTTTTTAGAAGACCAAGAAAGCGCCAAAGAAACTCGCCTCGTTATCCATGTCCACCAGCTCCTCATTATTGATGAAGACAAAAATCCGGTCATTTTGTTTTAGCTGAAACACACCCCCTTGGTAGATGGAATACAGTCCATACCCTGCCTTTTTAAACCAACAGCTGGTCCTGGCGCTTTTCATCAGCAAGATGGGATCCGAGTAGTTCGTGAACTTGGAGATGTATTGGACCATCTGCTTAGGGTTTCTGACACTGTCCGAGTCAGGCTCGGCATCAGGGAGCACGCCGTCTGGTTCCCGGAACTGGAAGTAGGTTTGTGAATAGATGTAATAGAAGCCCGTCTGGGGTATGATGAGTTCCCCGTTCCTCAGGTCGACATTGTAGAGGAAGGAAAATCAGAAGAAAACACTCAACCCTCCCCAGTCCACTTTACCCTTTGTCCACACAGCCTGAGGTTAGGCTTCGACGACAGAGGTCTGGGCGAAGGTTTCTTGTATCCCCTTCTGGCTTTCCACACAGGACAAGCACTTTGATGTGATGAACTTTTGCAGTTAAGCACAAACCGGATTGGGAATCCACAGGTCTTGACAGGTGAGCAGGAGTAGAGTTCCTCTTCTCCTCTGACAGGTAGAGGGTGCTGGCTTGTGGCTTTAGGGAAAGGCTTCTCTGCACTTGGGGGAGTGGATCCTCCAAAGCGCCTATCCTTTCTGGCCACACAGGACAGCTGCACATCTATGGTGTGGAGATTAGCACTCATCTACACACATCTTGACGATGAAGCAGGAGTAGATTTCCTCTTCTCTGACAGGTAGAGTGCGCTGGGCTGTGGCTGTAGGGAAAGGGAAAGGCTTCTCTGCACTTGGCGGAGTGGATCCTCCAAAGCTCCGTTCCCGTGGCTCAGCACGCTTGCGCAACACAGCGGTCTCCTCTGAAGTGGAGGCTTCTCACCGAGGCAGTAACATCATCAGACGACAGGCAACCGCTGTGGCTGGAAATTTCAGCACCACTTCTCCAGCTGGTGAGCGGAGAGCTCCCTCCGACCTCCGTGAATGCCTTCAGCACTGGTGATGTCATGACCCTTTGCTTGCCAATCTCCAGGCTGGTCCCAGGTGCGGAACTGAGAGTGGCGTCGAGGCAGACCCCAATTCTCATTCTCCCGTGCACCAGGGGGGGTCTCTAGAGCCAGTAAACAGCCAGTCATCTGCGCTTCTGCCTTGCTCCACCTCCCGCTGGTACAAAGGGGCTCGCTTTGGACGTACAACTGGGTTTCCAGCGTCTGCAGCATCCCAGAATTCGTCCCGATCACTCACTTCATCAACAGTGAGCAAAGATATATCATCCAGGGGAAATGATTCACCCCCTTCAGCCATGACTCCAAAATTCCTAGCTAACACTATTTTAAAATAACAAAATCTTCCTCGTAGTCCATGCAAGCTCTACACACAGGGGAAATATACCCATGATTTTTCAACTGGATCCCAGTTCATATATCCCACCGCTGCCACCATGTATAGCTTCTGCCCCCCAAGCCAGTCCAGGGATGAGGGGAAAACTCTACACTGGCTCAATACATTACACAATAACCCAGAGAGGTAGGCTCTCTGGATTTCAGAACAATAGTCACCAGACAGAACACACTAGCACCTCCTCAGAGATGCACTTAATACTCAATGGTAGCGTGTAGCCAGTTAGGCTGCAAGATTTAGGCTTGGGATTCAGTTACACATCAAAACAGACACTATTTATAAACAAGAATAAGGTTTATTCAGCGCAGAGCTTTGCAGTTAGACTAATAAGGATTTCCAAAATAAGAAAGATTAGGGCAGTGTTTTTCCTTAACTACACATAATGCTTCATATTTACCAAGTCAGGAACAATTATCAGTCCAGAATAGTCCATTGTAATAATCCAGTAGCCCCAAGGGATTTGGAGCAAAAAGTCCATCTTTGCCAGCATGTGCTCAGCTCCAAAGCAGCTCTTTGTCTCTCCCAGAGACCACATGGCAAGACATCATTTCAGGTGGCAGCAGATATAGCAAGAACAGAACAGAGAGAGAGAGCTCTCTTCCAAGGGATCAGACAATTAAACCCCAATCTAATCATGACTAGCCGTGGCCATCAGCCAATCACGAGTAGGAGGGGTGTGTCCAACTTTTGGGTTGTCATGGTAGCTTTGAAAGGATAGGTTGGAAGTTTGGAAAACCACGCCCGTGGTCACATGGCCCCCAACCCCCAAAACTTCATTCTGTACATGACTGGTTGCTTGAAGCAGCAAAGCCAGGCTCCATCAAGTCTGGCTTTTCCACTAGGGGTGTGAAGGAATGGGTGGTTATATGGCAGGGCTGTAAAGTTTCGGCCAAATGGGCAGGCCATATGGCTTCAATAGGAAATGCAACACAGCAGGGTATCAGCAAAACATTCCAGGGGAAGGCAGGGTTTTCTGGAAATTAATATATTTTTACAGGCCCATGGAGCTAAAGAGCTGCTAGAATCAACGAGATGAAACTCCGAAAAAGGGCTGCCTGCCCAAGACTCCCACTAAATATACAAGTATACAACCATGAATAACACCAGTAACCATATCATGACTGTTATAACATAGTAATCAGTTGTAATAACAGTGTCGTTCAGAACTGATAAGATACAAATTGTCAGAAGACCAAGAAGTACATACAGACTAATCATCATAAAAAACAATAACAATTTGAAAACAAAGATTAATAGTAGCCAGTAACAACAACGTTGTCTGTTTATTGCACCTGAAATGCTGCTTTGTGAATTGGACCCCATGGTTGTGCAAAATGGGTTTTCTCTTCAAAATCCCTTGGACTGTCTTGAACTGTTGGATGTTCCTGAATTCGGTTGGAAATAAAACTGTCCATCAAAAAAGTGAAAAAACAATTTTTAATTAAAACAACAGGGCTGCAATGACACCATGCGGAAGCGGTGGTAGGTCACAAAGCAGTTCAGTGCCCTTTGGTCTCAAATTGGTCGAACGCCTCCATCTCGCTTTGGAACTGTAAAATAGCGAGAATAGAACCCCTTCCCGTGTAGACATGGTGGTACCGGCTCGATGGCTCCTTTCTGCAGAAGGACGGACACCTCCTCTAGGAGAGGTGGGGAAGGGGGTGTGGATGGGGTTCTGGTGGGATTGGATATGGTAGCAGTTTACAAATTAAGACAAAACATAGCTCCTGCAATTAACAAATTAGGGCAGGGTAGATGAGTAAACGTTTACGAAGATTCTGGAATGTTACTTCGTTTCGAAAAAACACTTCTTAAGTAGCAAAAAGCCCCCGTGGCCCCAGGGACCGCTGCCGCCAGCAGCCTGCGAGCGGGTGCTTGTCCGGGTCACCCTAGCTTGCTCTTCCTCTTCCCCCTTGGCATGGCAGCGGCGGGGTTTGCTGAGTGAGCTGGGGGGTGGGGGGGAGCCCGTGAGGTGGCGGCGATGGAGGCCAGGCCCTGAGTGGAGCCTGGCAGCATCGGCATTAGCAGCATCGGCCTATGAGCGCCAGGGCTGAGGCAAAGCCCGCCATGCCATGCTGGAGGAGAAGCCCCTCGGAGTCACGGAGAACATGGGGAAGGCCCTCCACTTCCTCTTGCAGGCCCGACGGTGGAGTTTTAAGAGATAATTGAGAGAAGTGGAGCAGCCTGGAAGGACCAGCGTGGGAAACGCCACCACCTCTCCCTCCCCCCCGTGCCCTCTCTCCTCCTATTCTCTACTCCCAGTGTTGAATGTTCAACACCAGCCTTGCCTTGCTTTCGGGGGAGGAAGATGCTGCCTGGGCTCAGGAGAGCAAGTCCCAAGTTTCATTAAAGTGAAGTTGTGGGAGG